TGAGTATGCAGTTTTGTAGACCGATCAATTCAAATAAAGCGCAAGTTTAAAATACATAGCTGCAACTTATCGTTGATTTTTAATATATATATATTTTTTTTTTGATGAAGGCGTTGCTCATTTTCTTCATTAAAAAAATCGTCGAACATACTTAGATAATATGGAAGAAAATTACCGACGTCGTCAAAAGTATGCCATACATCAACTGTAAATCACAGCCACTTTAAATTTGCACTTTATTAGACTAAAATTGAATGAGCTAAAAAACTGCAAAATATTAAGAGATAATTTTTTAGATTTTTTTTTTAATTTTGTTCAAAGATTAAACTTATTTTCATTTAGTGTTTTTTAAGGAATAAACTATATTTTTATAAACAAATAATTCAAATTAAAATATAATAAAATAAATAGTCAAATCGAGTCAATATGTGAGTATCGTAAAGTTATGATATTTAAGAACATCTCTTTCTTAATTAACGATGACACTGTTTCTATATGAAGCTGATTTCAACATTTTGTTTTAATAAGATTTAGTATCGAAAATATTATTTCAAAGTGATAATGGTTGGTTCAAAACTTATAAAGGCAAAAACGAGAAGGCGAAGACAAAAGAGAATACAAAAATTTCCGGCAGTGAATTTTCAGATTTTTAAAACGGTATAGTAATCTAATTTTTTTAATTTAAATAAAGCATGAAGTCCCCATGGAATAAACGAGTAGATAAAAAATATATAACGGTAAAACTGGCACATACATAAATATATGAAAGAATGCACTCAGGCGACGCCTCTAGCCATTGTGTGTCACAGATTTAAGTTATCGATGGAAAATTTTTTTTCAACCATTGCCATAAAAACTAAGCTTTGGTGTGCCTGGAGTTATAGCAAGTATTTTTAGACACAATATTCCTTTTATTAATAGTTTTAAAATTAGTAGTTTGCGTATTTTCAGATGCCTGCAAAAAGGAGTTTGATATGGAGTCATTTCGAGAATTCTGGCTCGAAGCGTGCTATGTGCAAGCATTGTTCAAAGCAAATAAGTTTCAACGGCGGGTCCATAGGAAATTTAAGCCGCCATATGAAACTTCGACATTCTATCATTCGCTTGCATGATGCGACTCTTAATGGTAACGGCAAAGGATACACACCAGAGGAGCAATTAGAGCCGGGCGATCAATCACCGCAAAGTGAGCAGCAATTGCAGGCGGAACAGCTGTTGCAGGTGAATAAACGGGTAATTACTAATTATCAAACAAAGTAGCGAACCACCGAAAAAGGGGAGAAAAAAAAATTAATTAGTTAAAATTGTCGCCCATCATGCTTTGCGTTTGGTTGAAGATTCGGAAAATATTAAATTCGTTGCCATCTTGTAACAGTGCTCTGCAAGGCGACTTAATATCCACCTTATAAGAATTCGTCTTGTGCTCTTTTTTTTTTAATTAGTACTTTCGAAAAAAAATCGGTCAGAAAATTTCATTACAAAAGTTTACTGCGATTAAGAATTCAAAATTAAAATTGAGCTACAGGGGCGGCTGCATTATGTCTGACCACAGCTGACTGGCCATCCTCTACCAATACAAATAAGATTGATTGAATTTTACAGCCTCATTTCATGAATAAATAAAAAAAATTTCATTGCTTCAGATGCTTAGATTTGTTGAAAAAAGTGACCATACAAAAATTTACCTTGATCAAGGATCGATTAGATGACACCAGAGGTCCTTTGAGTAGGGTTTGCAGCAAAAACGGTATATTGAAGGTAGCTATATATAAATACGCCACTATAAAATTTTGAACCCCCTTTTTGGGGGAACCGTTCGCTTGAAAAAATATATAACTTTCTCTAATCTATCTATGTATCAGGGTTGTTGCGAATATTCGCATTCGCAACCGCTGAGCTTCCGCATTAATTTTAACATTCGCATTCGCTTTCGCATTTGCTAAAATCAATGCAGATCTTTTGCGAATGCGAATATTGAAGGGACCGAAAATTGCAGTTATTTTTACGAGTTAAACTTGGCTAGATATTTTTTATTCCGAAATAAAAGTACTTTCCGGATAATAAACAAACCGCTTATCCAAATTAAACAAGTTTGGTATCCAATGAAAGAGGACTTAAATAGCTTTAAAACTGAATTGTCTAAAAGAGGAAAGCTAGACATTGAAAAATATTTCAATAAAAAATGTTAATTAATTACCATAGAACAAACATTGGGTCAGATATGTATTTACATAAATTTCTTTAGTATTAAGTTATAAAAAAATATAAATAGAGGTGGTAAACTTCATTTGTTACTTCTGTTTAAAAGCTATTTCAGTCCTCTTTCATATGATACCAAATTTGTTAAATTAGTATAAGCGGTTTCTTTATTATCCGGATGGGACGTTTATTTCGGAATGAAAAATATTAGGCCAAATTTAACTCGGAAAAAATAACTGTTATTTTCGGTCCCTGGAATATTGTGCAAGTGCACAGACGTATATCTAACCAGTCACAGAAGAAAGCATTAAAAATGAGTTACAAAAACTAAAATCGAAAAAAGCTGATGACGTGACAAATTCCGAAACAATCAAAAGAATGAGAATGAAGAATTCTTTCGAAAAAAACGGTGTTTAACAACGATTGTGCCATGATGCTAGATTGTGAAGATGAAAGTCAGGAGGATACATCCGACATTTGCAGCCCCGATGAAATTCTCAGAAAGTAATTATTGCACCGCAATAAAAATAAATAAATATAACTGTGTTTAAGCGACTTATGCATTTCCCGCATAAACAATAAACAACGAACATCCGCACGCTGTTATATTGCATTTCCCGTATAAAGCAACTGAGCGAACATACAAACACGCTTGTGTTTAAAAGTAATTTGCTCGTTCTTAATTGGGTATGCATTTTTATGCAATTCTCAAATATCTCTTCACATCTTGCGCTACCGCTTCATCAGCCTGCCCGCATATCTCACTCTCTCTCTCTCTCTCTCGCATAGCAGGCATATGGAGTGCGTGGTTGCCTTGATGTGCACCTATACACCATACGGGCTCATTGAGCTCGATACATAACCACTCGCAAAGGTAATCCCTACCTCCTCTACTACTTTAACTCGACCACAACTCTAAACCTGGCCTCCCGCTCTCCCTCAGCGAAACAAACTGAAAGTCCTCTCAACTAGTGCAGAGTCAATCGAAAAGAATTTACAATTTTGCCAAGTTTCAAGTTTTTCAAGTTTGTCGCAGTAGTGGCGCAGGTTTGATTTACAACCCTTCAAAAGGCTTTTATTAAGTATAATGTTCCAATTTTTAAATTCAACTACTAAAAAAACATTCAGTCTTATCATGAGTTTAATTTTCCCCGAACCGGTTCACTTCTCATTTCTGGTTTTCGTGTACATATTTACTATGGGCGGAATACAAATTTTCGGGAGAATTTTTTTTTCGGACAAAACTCAGGATAAGGCAGATTATTAAAAATTATTAACCTTTCCGTGTTTTATTTACTTAAATCAACTAAATTATTTCTTAAAAATACATGACATCCACATCCGCGGATGTTAGTTAGCTAGTTAAACGGGCGGACAGAATCGAACAAAATTTTGACTGAGTATTGCCATGACACCTGGGCCTATAATAGGGTGAAAAAAATTGGGATACGACAAGGGGGCGTGGCTCAAATACATTTCAGAAAAGCTCAAATGTATTTCAGAAAGGGCCAAATGTATTTCAGAAAAGGCCAAATGAAACTCAGAAAAACACAATTGTATTTCAGAAAAGTTCAAATGATTTTCAGAAAAACGGAAATGTATTTCAGAAAAGCATAACGGTATTCTGAAAATATTTTTCTGAAATACATTTGCGTTTTTCTGAAAATCATTGAACTTTTCTGAAATACAATTGTGTTTTTCTTACTTTCATTTGTCTTTTTCTATATACATTTGACCTTTTCTGAAATACATTTGAGCTTTTCTGAAATACTTTTGGGGCAAGGTGTAGTCAGAAAAATAATAGGTTTACCCGTAAATAAGTGCATACATATGTACCTTAATTCACAAAGACCCTAACCAACACTTTTTTTTATTTTACAGGAGAAGCAAAAAACATTATAAAAAGACCCAATAAACATTTAGGTTTGAGCTCAACTTGAGGTTAAGTTCAGAACTAAGGTATTTCTCAAATCTCCAATGTTGTTTCTCAACAGTACCTCAAGTGGAGGATCATAGCGTTCTCAACAAAAAGGGCATTTTTCTTTGTATAAAAAAGGACTGTTTCTCAAGTTGAGAAAATGCTAGTTCTCAACTTGAACTCTAATATAATTCTCCAGTTGGTCTCAAACATATCATTGAAATACTGAAATTGAAATAGTAAAATACCTAATACCTTTTTGATTGAAACACCATACATGCATAGATGAATTTAAATACTAATTTTTCATTTTATTACTCCTATTGTATTATGTAGTTAATCAATATCGTCTTATAATAATTCACTTCACAGTATACAGTCCGACAGTAATTTTGCCACTTGATTCACTTCGCGTTTTATTTTCTTTCAAGAATATTTGAGGATACTTTGGAGATTATTTACTTTTCGTTGGCAGTTTTCCCCTTTATATACATAGCTTTAGTTTTTCACTTGATAATTAAAAATTCTTATCTCTATCACTTTTTACGTATCTGCGCGTGGGTTAGAGATGAGTTGGAGAATGATGTTGGATATCAACTTGAGAACTATGAATTTTTCCAAGGTTGGAGAAATATTTTTTTAGTGTTTAATGGGGAGTATCAAAAACATGTAGGCCTTTTTAAAAAGTGCCATAGCAACTCCGTTGTTTTTGGTGCGAATACTTAAAATTTTTTATTGAAGATGTAGTTTATACATCCTACCAAAATCTGTAAAAATGCAGTTTCGAAAAAAGTGCTGGTTAGGGCCATGTGTATAGACCGTATGGATATACCGTTTGGTTATAAATTTTCTTTGCGAACAAATATATCATCAAACAAAAGTATTCAGTAGTTTTACGATGCCACCGAGAATTGGTATACAAATATAGATTTTTATTATTCCAGAAACCACTGAAAATTGACGGGAAAGTAGCTTCATCTAGTCCCCCAGCAAGCAATAATCCATCACCCGCAATCGACGAAGAAATGAACAGTATTTACGAGAAACAAATTGAGGTACCTAGTTTGTTGTTCGACCTGATTGTATGTAATAATTTCCGCTCATTTACAGTTTGTGGACGGTTATTTAACAGAAAGTTCTTTCATAAATGAAGAAATAAACAACGAAGATATTTTTGAGCCCAAATCTCCGAAAATGGCCTACCACCGAAGATCACGAAACCGAAAATTGGAAGATTTAAAAACCCGCATAGAAATACAACTTATGCGCGCGAAAACTACATATTTCACAAAGCATGCGGCAAAACTCGACATAGAATGTTCACTAATGTTATTACAAGTAAAAAAACTGGAGTTGGAACTAGAGAAATTGCGTAATGAAGCTCAGGAAAATCCATTAGCAAGTGAACAAATGGGGTTTGAATCCGTTCGTAATGTAGAACTTTAAAGTCGCAAAACAAAAAGTAAACGATTAATAAGTTTAAATGAACATAATTTCGCTGGAGATAGTCTTGCTGTATGTTCTTTATATAGAAAAATGAATTGTATTGTGTGTTATTGTTTAACTCAATAGCGGCCCAACGGATCTGCTTCGTTTTTATTTCATTTTGTTTATTTCTGTATGTAGAAAGTTTGTAAGAAAAATTTTGGGAAAATGGTGTTGCCAGATACCTGAAATATCATTAAAAAAAATTACAATTAAATTAAATTTAAATAAGCCACAATAATACTAGTTCACTGAGAAATTATACAAAAATTTAATAAAGAAAAAAATTTAAATAGGGTTACCACCATTCGAAGAGAAGTCCTTCTCTGCTTGGTCCTTCTATCGCAGTTTGGGCTTTCCTCTTTCTCTCTTACCACCATCGAGACCTGCGTTGAATACTTTGAGAGCTGGAGCGTTTATGTCCATTCGCCCGACATAACCAAGTCAGCGTAGCCGTTGTATTTTGATTCGCTGCACCATGTCCATGTCGTTTTAAAGCTCATACAGCTCACGTTCCATCGTTTGAAATACTTGCCGCCGCCAATGTGTAAAGGCCCATAAATCTTTCACAGAATATTTCTCGCGAAAAATCCAAGAGCCGCCTCATCAGATGTTTTCATTTTTCATGCGTCCGCGTGTGATTTTTGTACGACGAGAGGACTTTACTCCTCAATTGCCTACTCTGTCCAAAGTAGCACTTGTTGGCAAGAGTGATTCTCCGCTGAAATTATTATTGGTGTTAATGCTGATTCTTAAATAAACGAAGTCCTCTACTTTTTCAAACTTGTAACTGTCAACAATCAGGTTGGTGCCAAGGCGCTTATGCTCTGGCTATTTGTGGCATGACAGCTAATACTTCGTTTTGTCCTTGTTCATCTCCAGACCCTCCCGATTTGCTTCTCTATCTAATTCCGAGTAGGCAGAAGAGACGTAGGCCTTGTGTTTACCTTAGCTCTTATTATCTTCTTCAACATCATGTTAAAGATATCACTCGAAAGGGAGTCACCTTGTCTGGAACCTCGTTTGGTATGAAACGGCTCGATGTCTTTCCCAAATCTGACGGGGCTGGTGGTATTGCTCGACGTCATTTTACACTGCCATATCAGTTTCGCGGCAATACGAAATTAAGACATCGTGGCATAAAGACAACTTCTTTTCGTGATGTCGAAAGCGGCTTTGAATAGACAAATAGAAGGTGTGTGTCGAGCCTATTCTCACGGATCTTTTCCATGATCTACAAAACTACATACTCAGAATCTAATTAAAAACTCGAAATTTTTACGAAAATTTGTTGAATTCTTTTTTATTAGAGAGTGCCATTCGTTTTTTGTTTTGTAGTTAATAGAATGGTACAATACAGCAATCTGCTATTGAAAAATTTCAACAAATTATTTTTCGTGATTGGGATAAAGAAAAATATTTGGGTATTCACACAATTGGGATACGATTTGCACCAAATTTCCCCAAATACCCAATCGTGTGACACTGCCTTTAAACTTGTATTTATACGGCTGTTGTTAAAGAATGAACTATAAAAAACTAACCAAAATTAAATAACAACAAAAATAATATTTTGAAACTGGTCAAAATTTGGTGCGGCTACATTTTTTCGACTACTGTACATAATTTGACTATGATTACAATTCCACTAATAGGTTTGTATAGTAACTTCTCCAGTAAAACATTGCAGCGAGAGCGTAAAAGCAAAATAGAGCGTAAAATTGAGAAGAAGAGAAAACTAGCAGAAAAAGTTAATGAACACAAAACTAGCAAAAACTTGCAAGTGAACAGTCGTTACACTGTTTTGACATTCTGCTGTAAACGTTTTACTATTTATAAATCAGTCTTAAACTCTTTGCTTTACACACAAGCACTTACACAGTCACAATATTTTGATTTAAACTCCTTTTACTTTTGTTTGTGCTAAAGCAATTCAACAAATGGCGGCTTTTGACATTTATTCTTCTTCTTCTTCTCCTAGTAAAAATTTCACTAGCAAGAATTTGCAGCCCTCCCGTGTTGTTACGCTCTCGATTCAGTGCTCTCTTGCAAAGTTTTTGGGTTATCATCAGTGTTGCCAGAACTTTTTGGGCCGACCGGCTAGATTGGCAAAAAAAAGCGGCTAAAAACGGCTAAAATGTTTTAGTGAAATTTCACAGACTCTGGCAAAAAACGGCTAAAATGTTTTTGTGAAAATTCACATGCTTTATTTAAATAAATCGCAAGAAACGAAAGACTAGTTAACACCATGAATTTATATCGAGTGTATATTCCTCATCATCAAATGAATCACTATTGTATATATCACCTGAATTCATTAATTTTAAGAGATCGTCATCTACAGTAAAATTATGGCAGCATTTTT